GCTTCTTGGCCGCCATCCCCGCTCGTGCCGAGCGGCGTTTCACCTTTTCCAGCCTCCAGCGAGCGGGAGGAGATGTGCAGCAGGTACCGACCCAGGAGAAAACACGGCTTCCTGATGCAAACGGGGAACGTGGACCGAACCTGTCGATGCTGCGGGCCAGGAGGGTTTTCTTTCTGTTGCGTTATCCTCCCTCCTTGGCGCGAGAGCCGTCGTGGGTTTGCGTGGTCAGGCGGGAGCAAACGTGCCCTCTTTATCGTCGCTAAATCACTCTCCTTGTCGTTGCAGCGAACATGATCTGGGGGAGGATATTTATGACTGCGTCCCCTGTGAAGATGAAGGCGATGATATCTATGAAGATATCATCAGAGTGGAAGTTCAGCAGCCCATGGTAACAATTTATATGCATTTTTTAAAGCTGTGCCGTGATGGGAGGGGAAAGGAGAGGATTCAATTAAATAAATCAGTATCTGCCAATGAGACGTGATGCTGTGGGGAAGCGAATCGCTCTGCGTCCTTCCTTGAAACCCAGCTGCCTCGTGAGAGGTAAAAATAAGCCAAGCCGGTACGGTGCTGGGCCAGAGGGGGTTCTCCGAGGACTTTCCCAGCCCATCCTGTCACCTGAAGGAGCTTGGGGAGGAGGAGGGGAAAGGGAGAGCTAATAAGCCCTAAAAGATAAACTAAAAATAGTAATTTGCCGCTGAGCCAAGGCAGAGTGTGTCACTCCAGCCCTTTCTGGGGAGGGGGGAGCGCGGCGGCTGTCTGCTCCGTCAGCCCGACGTGCCGTGTCTGCCACGGGTATTTTTAGATCGGGGCGAGCGCTGACGGATCTGTGCGTGGAGCATCCAGCGCTTGTTTGTGCCCGTTGTTGCTCCTGCCTGGGTGTCTCAGAGCAGGTGGAGGTTTACAGTGGAGCTTTCTGGGGCAGCGGGGACCCATGTGGCTTTAGGGACAAGCAGCCAACCCCGTTCATCACCATCTTGAAAAGCCTTTCGGCGCCGGGGAAAGCCGGGTGTGCAGCACGCACAGCCTGGCGGAGGGACTTGCGTCATCTCCAAGGGCTCTGGTGCAAGCGCCACGCTCCACGGATGAGCCAGGGAGGTGCTGGTGGCCCTTGCCTCTCCCCGGAGCCACCCTCGCTGCCCGTGTCCCCGGCGCCGCGGAGGTGGGCTGCCCCGGCTTCTGCTGATGCAGAGCTGGAAGGGACCTTTCCACCAGAGCGGGACCTTCCAAATTTTCTCCCACCCTCTGATATTTGGCACCCTCAGGCTTTGTGCAGGCGTTAGTTACTGTCTCCTGGCTGCGGGCAGCGCTGGCAGCAGTGCACACCATAACAAAGCAGGACCAACGGATGCGTTCACTGACCAGTTCAATCCCCGGAGCGGGGTGCGTGGCTGTGCTGGATGAGGTGCTGGGAGGCTGGGAAGGCAGGGCTTCACCCCACGGAGCCCGGCAAACGAGCCGAGCGACGCGGCAGCGATGCCCGCATTCTGTTTTCTCCCCCGTCCCGGGCTTGGCTGCAAGTGGTACCAAGACCATGATGATGGTGGTTGAGGCATTTCATCCCTTCACGCCTCGCCTGCAGCCTGAGGAGCCCCTGCACACCGAAACCCACCTGGATCGAGGAGGTGGGCACAAAATATTCCCACTGATCCTGCCAAAGCGCTTGGAGCTGTTTACAGACACTGGTGGCAATGCCGAAGTCAGCACAGCTTGTTGGCCACCAGTGTCTTTACCGCGTTGCCATCAGCTGCAGAAGGCAGTTGGCTCAAGAAGTGGCCCTTAGGAAGGTTTTGGTAGGAATTTCTTGCATAAAGGGCAAAAATAGGGGAAAGCTCCCACTGTGTGGGTGCCCCACAGCCGGGTACTGCAGGATTAGGGTCAATGGGAATTGGCAATTTTTCACTGTTCCCTCCACAAAGTTCTGTGTTTTCTCAGACGCTGCTGAGCAGCGATGGAGGCAATGGCGCTGAGTCCCTTTCCTCCCCTTCCGTGAGCAAAATAATCTACATTTAATATAAGCATCCACATATCTGTCTAAATAACTTCTTTTTTTAAAGCTGTGTTGCAATAGCAAGTGTGTAATGCTAATTGGTTTCTTGTATTTCTGCATGCTTCAGATTAGATATATGCAGGTAAGACGCGTTGATTAAAATACTGGTTTCCATCCAGCTGACAGGTCCGAGCTGCGAGTTGAAGGGGGTGTTAGAGGGGGTGTCCGTTCCTGCGCGTGGTCGTTAAAACCCGGTGGCTGAATCGCCTCCCGAGGTCAGAGACTGCGCTGAGAAGTGCAGCACCTCCCGAGACGTGTTTTCAGCTCCGCTTTACAGATGTGAGAGCAAGAGAAGTGACTCCAGGAGGTGGGGCTTTGAGAAAAGCACGTATGATCAGATTTGACCTAAAATCATGAGAATTGGCAACCCTGGCAGGGGATTTGCATAAGTCTAATGTATTGTTTATGACCCACTTAGGCTCCGTTATGAGTTTCACCTTAAGCAAAAAAAATTGGGAAAACCAGCATTTATTTCTTATTTATTCTTCTTTAGCTGATAGCCTTTGGTGATGTGGCTATAATAAATGCAAAAAATGTAATGCTCACTGTGTTGCAGCATATTGAATAGTACAGCCAGGGTTCCTTCCTAATTTTTTGGGATAAAAATAGTTTACTCTAGCACAAACCAGTAACAGTACTCTCATGTCTCCCCAAACCTTGCGCTTGTTCTGAGTTTGCTGTCACTGAAGGCTGAACTGGAGCTCCGCTCTGCCTGAGCAGGTTGATGGATCGCTCTCAAGAGTATCTGACCACGCGTTATTTTCCCTTTTTCTAGAAAATGGGAATGACGGAAGATGACAAAAGAAATTGCTGTTTGCTAGAAATCCAAGAAACTGAGGCCAAATACTACAAAACACTTGAAGATATAGAAAAGGTAAGAACTGAGCCATCTCTTCTATACCATCGCCTTCCACATCATCGCTCGGTCTTGCGTTCATCTTGCTGTATTAGTTCTCGCTGCGAGAGTTGGCAGATGTGACGAGGCAGGATCGATGCATTCACATGTAAAATTGGAGAGAAGGAGGATCCAGAAAACCCATCCTGACAAGCGCAAATGTGCAGCTTGTAACTGTAGGAGCCAAAAAACATATTTTTTCTGATCACTGCATATTGGAAATAGGCTGAAAACCATCCTGCTGTGTCCCCCTTACCCTGGGGTAGGAGACTCCCGCTCCTCGCTCAGCCAGGCCGGTCTCCCCGATAAGAGCCGTGTTTGCAGATATCTTATCGCTTTGATTGCTACGGAATAATTTCTTTATTCTGGGCGTTTTTCAGAATTGCTGAGGCTGTGCTGACTTGTCATTGAAATTAATTGGATTAAAAGTAACATTTTGCTGCTTGAATTCATGGGTTTTAATTGGTTTTGATAAATTATTGTTGTGCCTTTCTTTTTAAATAAAAATAAAACTGAACACCTCAGCAAGACAGCGGAGTCGTGGATACGGCTGGAGCTTGGAGATGGGTTTCTGCTCCGAGGAAAGCGGCAGGAATGAAGAACAATAATGAAAATCAAGCTGCCATTTCTAATCACCCTAACGCTTTTGTTTCCTCCCCTTTTGCAATTATTTGCCTCTGTCTGCTGAAAGTTCATGCAAAGAAGCTGTGAGCGAAACCCGTATGGTAGAATAACGTTTCCCATTTTCCATGGAAATGTCCTAACGTACGTGTGGTTTATGTAAATAGCCCTTGCTCCTGGGAAACGGCCACAGCCCTTCTGGTTCAGTCTAAAGGAAGAGTTGAATTATTGCTTTGATGTCGATTAAAAAGGCTTCCAAAGGCTTAGTAGGTTCTGACAGTGTGTTATGGGTAGAGAGTCCTGTCTTTGGTGCATTGCACCGGGGTTTTTTTGTAGTTACAAGTCATGTAGATGTTTCTATTAATATGTATTTGTTCAGAAAGGCATTTCCAATGTAATCACATCATCTGCGCTTTTTCAAGGGCAAAATTCTAGTGAGATAATCAAAGAGCTGAAAAAATGCTTTCAGAGCTCTTCCCGACTGCAGGCAAGGACTGCAGCGAGGTGAAGAAACCGTGCAGGTGAATCCCCCTCCCTGCAGATTTGCCAGGAGAGGGGGCTGCGCTCACCCACGGGTGGGGGTCTTGCGCCTTCCCGCGCCTGGAAATGCCACAGGGACCAAGGGGAGCTCGGGGGAGGATGCACCCACGGGGGTTCCGGGCTCCCGCTTGGCTCCCCGGCACCACCCGCTCTTGGCGAACGCGTTGCCGTTCGTCTGCCTTTGCCCGTGCTCAAAGCCATTTAAGCCCGGCTTCTCCCTGCCCAGGCAAATGCCGCTGGTGACGCAGGGAGAAAAAACCCACTTGCTCGCTCCTCTCCGGTATTTCAATCCCTTTTCCATTTACCTCTTGCAGAACTATATGAACCCACTGAGGCTGGTACTGACTCCCCAAGACATGGAGGCTATTTTTATCAATTTGGAGGTAATGATGTAGACATTGTGGCATAAATCTTTGTTCTTTTCACCGCAGCTCAGCTGCCTTCCTGCTTAAGAGAAGACTCAGATTTCACGTTAGATTTGTGCGTTCGCCTGTAGAGGTTCGGTCCTTCGTGTGCTGCGGAGCTTGAACAGGTTTAGGAGATATTCCTTAACGCTCAGTTTTAGAGTTGGGGGTTATGTGAGCTCTAGGTGAGGAAACAGTTTTACACAGAAGATGTTCCAGGGCTGAGACTGTGTATTTTAGCTGTACTGAGAGGTTTGGGCACACCCCGATGAAGGGGTTTGTTTCAATGGTGGCTTGCACAGGGTCTGGGTCGGAGCCTGCCCGTCTCCTCCACTCCCTCCAGGCCTGCAAAAGTGACTTTAATACACGTGGAAACCCTGGGGCGTTTATCACAGTGTCACCGGTGGAATTAAGCCCTTGCACTCCTGGCCATTTAGGGCTGCATCTCACTAGAATGACTTATTTTCAAAACAGCTAAAAAGAGGAAAGAAAAAAAAAGGCAGAGAAAATGACTGCCTGATTAAGTAGTGAACGTGCGTTTCTTCAGGCTCTGTTTGACCACTTATTTTGTATGTGTTTGAAGCATTGATTGTTTCTTCATTTTAGGACCTAATTAAAGTGCACTTCAGTTTCCTGAGAGCCATCGATGTCTCTATGATGTCTGGAGGAAGCAGCCTGGCAAAAGTGTTTCTGGAATTCAAAGAGAGGTAAGTAAAGGAAAGCCAGTCTTCAGGCAGCTCCAGTTTTAACAGACAAGGGTTAGTATTTGCAGGGCCCGTCTCAGAGTTGGGAACAGAAAAGCCTGTTGGGGCAGACCAGCTTTGCATCCTCTGCAGGTAGATGCTCTCGGGCGGCTGAAACATCACTCGGTGCCGACACTTCAGCAGCCAAATCCAGCCACAGCCGTGCCGGGCTGCCCAGGGCAGGGGCTGGGGCATCTCTCTGAGCGAGCCGGCTAAAGCGGTGTGGCTCCCGTGGACGCCTGTTCCTGCGAGCCCCCGTCTGCAGCTGGGTTTTGCTGGGCTCGCAGCCCCCCGTGTGAGACCGGCTGTTTTGCAGGCTGAACCCACAACGCGTTTACAGGGCCGTACCGGAGAGGATAAAGGTGGGAACGCTACGATTATGGCGAGCCAGAATGGAGTGAAAGCTCACTCGCCCGCAAGGCTTTAATGTAATCTCCTCCTGCAAGCAGCAGCGGGGCTTTGGGGGGCTGTGATGTGGTGGGGTGACTCCTTTGCTCTGGTTAGATCAAAGCGATTGCTCACTCTAAAAAATCGCGTATTTGGCACCGGTGTTGTCGCGCACCTACTGCATGATGAATAAATGTAAAAGTTGCTTTCGCAAACGTAATGGGTTCCGCGTTTTGGCAGCTGCAAGCAGGAGTACCCCAGAACGCAAAGATAAGGTTAATAAAAGCCTTTAATATCCTTAATACTAATCAAAGGCCTGATTCATTGTGGAATCGTGCCAGGGTGTTATTTCACTGTGATTAAACCAGTGTCTAGACACAGAAATGCCATTCAGAAGTCAATAACTCCAGAAATACCATCTGCATTAATAATACACCTTAAGGTCAGATATTCCATCATTCACAGTGCCTCGTTTTAGAAAGGGAATGTTTTCTGGATTAAATAAAAAAAAGTTTCCAAAGAAGAAGGCAAATAATTTAAAAATACTCATAAAACTCACTTAGGTGATTTTGATCTCCTAATTCCTGGCTCCGCTCCCCGCATGCCGGTGCCGTCCCCGGGCAGCGATCCTGAGCCGCTGCCGACTGTGCTCGGAACAGAGCTGGGCACATGAGGAGCGGGGACGGGACCTGGGAGGAGTTGTGGGGGTGGCATTGCTCCCCCGGGAGATCTGCGTGGCCGTGCAGGAGCACGAGGCTCATTTTTGGGCTGACAGCCTTTAAATAAATGTTTGCTTCTGTTAATTTGCTGGTGGGAGCTCAGCAGAGACCTTGTAGCTGAGGGGTTTCGTGCAGGTGGGTGGACAAACTGACCCAGGTCCTAATGGAGTTTGCAAGCAACTTTTTAAGGGACCCAAAAGCCTTCCTGAGAGGCGAATGAAGGAGCCAGCCCGACGGCTGGCGAGGTGGCGAAGGCAGCTCCAAAACTGCGTTCAGCCCGTGGGGATCTCGGGGACCTCAGTGCCGTGGGAAACTGCTGCTTACGGGGAGTTTTGGCTTGGAGAAGACCCCAAAACCGAGCTCTTGGGGATGAAGGTGATGGCACAACCTGATCTAAATAGGCAGGGTCCTTTCCTGCGTCAGGAAAGGTGACGATACCGCATTTTACAGCAAGGAAATGGGGGTGCAGGAGGAGAAAGTGAGCTTACCTGGGGACGCAGCGTTGCCCCATCAAGAAGGGGATGTGGACCTCCGGAGTCCCTGCTTGGTCCCTGTATAGAAGACCTTCCTCCATCAAACATATCTGTGACAAAAGCTCCTGCTTCCCTATGCATCCTCAGAGACATCCTGGCAAAATGATGTATTGCCTCTCCGCTTTGCAGGTTTGGGCTTTTTTTGGAAGGAAATAGTTTGTAAATCTCTCTCTTTGAAAGCCAGAGGTTTGAATTTATGCTCCCGAAGCCTCTTTGAAACTCTCCAAGCGCTGGCAAGGTAGATATTATTGTGCACGTTCAGAAGCTGTCAAAGGGAAAAGGCAGAAGAATAATCTGTGCTGGCTGCTGCTTCACCGGGGACTGCAGCTCCCATAAATCTCTCTATTCGGTTCCCCGCCGGGGTCTGGGAGTCCCACGTTTAGGGAGCAGCACCAGGTCAGGTGCTCCCAGATCGTCTCCATCAAGAGAGGAGGCCCTGAAGTAATTGATGAGTTGCAATGTGTGATGGAAAATGTGTCTTATCAGCAGCAGTACAGTTAACGGCAAGGAAGAGGGGAAAACCCAAACCTGCCATGCAGGATTAATGAGTGAAGTGGAGGAAAAAGGGGCAATCCACAGCAAAACTGCTCTGTTTGTGTCAGATGTTTAAATGTATAGCCCGGGGTGTCCGTACAGAGCTTCAGTGTGTTTCTAAAGGCTGTGACAACCTTCTTTTCCCAAATTACCCAGTCTCTTGATCTCTAGGTCCCTGTGGCCCATCCTGCAAGGAGTAGCGAGCTTTCTAAAATGCGTCCTTGGGTCTTAAGAGGTTTTGAAGCCTCATCCTCTGATGAGGTGCAAATTATCATCACCCTTGTCCATTCTGGGCATGTCTCAAGAATCAAGAGCTCTTTACTTCCCTCCTTACTTGGTGAAACATCCAGAAACCCTCAGGGAGAGGGGCACACGTCAGCCACGGTGATGGCAATCATTTTTTGGGCTGTGAGCAGCTGTGACTTGGGAAATGAAGGCTTTTTGGAAGGTGAATACATGGGCTTGAGCGAGCTGCATTTGGAAATGCTCTCAGGAAATGGATTTGCGTTGTCATTTGGTCTTGAAGCACATCCCTGCTCTGCCTTCACGAGCCCCGGTGCTAATATGCCACAGCTGGAAAACGGGCGCGCGGCCATCGGGCGGCACGGTGCCTGTCAAGACGTCAGGGCGATTGTGGCGATGGTGTAGTCATGAGAAAAAGCCGACTTGCAGCCAAGGGGCCACGGTGTTGGATTGCAAGGGTTCAGCGCTCGCCCCCTCCTCGTGTTTTTAGCCAATCTGCAGTCCCTCGCTGGGGTCGGAGCTGCTCCCCGGGAGAGACGAGCGCCAGCAGCGACCGGCACCTTGGGCAGGGATGGGGCCCCAGCTCCTTGCTGTTTCTTTTTATATTTGGGCTGTCGTACCTGGGATGTGGGTACCTCTTATAGATCCACTTCGTAACCTGCTCTAGGAAAGGTTCTTTAGTGTGGAGCTGGGTTTCCCTTTATTGTCATGGTGCTCCAAAAGCGCAGCTCTCGGGAAGCAGTGGTTAAATACATCACACTGGGGAGTGAAGGGATGAGCCATCGTACCTCCAAAAACGGGCTCCTCTGGCCACTCGACCCCCTCGTGAGCTGAATCACCCCCACAGGCTCCAGCTCTGGAAACTTCAAAAGATTTAAATTTTAAAAAGCCATGCAGTTAAAGAGTGTTAATACTTTGCTAAGCAGTTATATGGGGGAATAGCTGTTTGCCTTGTCCTTTCACTGTGTATAAGTATATATATCTTTTATAACAGGTTATAACTGCCAGCAAGTGTTTCCGATTAAATCTGTGATTTCCCCCTCTACAGGCTGCTGATTTACGGCAAGTACTGCAGCCACATGGAGTACGCCCAGAACACGCTCAACCACCTCCTCGCCAACAGGGAGGACGTCAGGCAGAAGGTGGAGGTGAGCGAGCCGGGGGCATCGGGGCCGAGAGCCACCCGCCCTCCTTGGCACGGGTTTTGGAAGGACTCGCTGGGGCTGAGAACGGCGTGTCGGGAATGTTTGATTTAGCGAGAGAGGGGAAGGGTGCGGGGGTGAGTCTGTGCTGCCCGGGGAGGGAGCAAAGCTGGGGGTTATCTTGTCCTGATCCCCTGCTTGCCCCTTCATCCCCACCCCAGACACGCTCTCTGTCCTTCCTCCCCTGAGTTCACACAAGTTAAAACAAGCTGGGTGACTTTCTTTGGGACTGGTTGTGGACAAATTCATCTTCGTCTCACGCACGGAGACCCGAAGGCGCCGAGCATCCCCGAGCCAGGAGCCGAGTGGCTTTCCAAGGTCACGGGCAGCATCGGGGACAGTCGGAGGCGAACCCAAGTCCCCAGGCGATCGCCCGGATTGCTCCCCTGTCCTCCTTCCCCAGCGTAAAGGCTCAGTGTAAATAGGGGCTGATCCAGATATTAAGTAAATCAAAGGAGCCCCAGAAGGGATGCATTGTTTGAGCTGCTGTTTTTACCCAGCTTTAATTCCTGCTTTGGTCTTGATGCTAATCTGAATTTGCTGGGCTGTCTGTACATGTTACCTCATTTTCTGCAAACGCTCTTTGATTTTCCCTGCAAAAGTAGCAACCCAATTCAGGGATAAAACTGCATGTAATAACTTTTTAAAACCCGTTCCTTGGATTTTGCATCAAGCCATCGTGATCTGAATTGCATCCTCTGCTGAAGGGCCAGTTGCTGTAGCATCCAGTTGCTCTGGTGCTTTTCCTTTCTCCCTCCCTCGTGGCAGCTCCTCTCATCTTCCTGGGGGGCACGCGGGGGGTCTCGGCCAGCGCCGGCGGAGTCACGTATCTAAATGGGTCTGGGCGAAGGTGACAGTCGCAAAACTGATCCTGCGATCACGTTAGCTCATCTTAATGACTTAATGCTCATCAGCAAAGCCACAGCAACTGTCTGCGTGCTTGCTCCTGGCCCCTCGCAAATAAAACGCATTAGTTCAAACCATCGAGGAGGCGAGTTGAGCTAATGCGCTTTATTTGACATTTCCCGAGGTCCGAGAGCATCCGTGTGCTCCCCTAACGAGCAGTATCTCATTAAGCTGGAGTAGCGCAGTTCCATGAGAATGCCGGTATTTCAGGGTCCAGCCCCTGGGTTTTACTCCTCGATAACCTCCGGGCTGGGAGCCCTGGCACCGGCTGGGTGCATGCAGGGACCACGAGCCATTTCTCATCCAAACTTAAGTTTACAGAAGCAAAACGTAACAGCCACGGGGCTCTGGAGGCTTTTTCTGGGGGGAAGCTGTTGTTTTCCCCCAGCTGCTTCACTGCTGATTTATTGATCTCTTTAATAGGAATGCACACTAAAGGTTCAGGATGGGAAATTTAAATTGCAAGATCTGCTGGTGGTTCCGATGCAAAGAGTTTTGAAATACCATCTCCTGTTAAAAGTAAGTGTTTCAGCATTGGCGTTGCTCTCCAGCTGCCATCCTCGCTGTAGCATCTTTCAGCTTTTACACTGGAGAGCGAATCATTGCCAAATGCAGAGTGAGGTTGGTTGGGTTTTTTTTCCCCTTCAAATGAAATAATTACCAGGGCTACTTAACACGACATAATATTTGTGCTGTCTCTTAAAGTATGGTGACCTAGGGTAATTCTGCACTTGTTAGCCACAAGAGGCAGTTAATGAATATAAAATAAGCTTGCATATAATCTGATTATGTGTGAAATTCCTCCCGTCAACTCGCTGTAACAGATCTCTCGAGCACCAGCCGCTCGGCGTGTTCCCCTTCCTACGCCGCAGCCGCTGGCCCCCCCGCCCCACCGTCCCTGCCACCGCCCGGGCAGCAGGCAGCCATCACCCGTGGGGCATAGCCTGCCTGCTGCAGGCAGGGTGCGGGCAGCTTTCCAAGCACATCCAAACTCTTTGGGTTTTTTTGGGTTGTTTTTTTTTTGGTTGTTTTTTTTTTTTTTTTTTGGGCCATTCGTCAGACCGGCCAGAGAAGCAACAGCTGAAGGAGGCTCTGGAGGCGATGCAGGTACGGGAGGGCGAGAGCAGCGGCGGGGTTGCGCCGGGCTCGGGGCGCAGCGGAGTGCAGGACCCCTCTGCTTCTGCGCAACAAAAAATTAGATGGAAAAACCATCCAGCAGCCCGAGAGAAGGCAGCGTCTTCTCCTTTCGGACAGGCGTGTTTGTGTTGATTGCCATTGGATGCGATTGCTTCGCAGCAGATCTGTAGTCGAGTGCTGTTATCTTCCTCCTTAAGCGGCTGGGGAAGCTGGTATTTGTTGACAAGTTACGACTTTTCACTAATTACTATTGTGCGTAAAGAGGCCGTGCCAGATTTGCCTCTTCTTCTTGCTAGGAGGGATCTGGAAGAACTCGGCATATCAGCAGGTCAGGGAGCATTGCAGACGTGGGAGCCCGTGTCTGTGCGGAGCATTGCCTGGGTGCTGTTATCCAGGTGCTGACTGGGAAGCCTTTTATCCAAGGGGGTTTTTTTTTCTAATTAAGGAAAAAAAGCGCTTTCCACAAATGGAGACTTCTGGTGCCAAAATTTTGCTTTGTTTAGAGGTTTTTTTGAGCTTTCAGCTGAAACCCCAAAGATTTCAGGAAAACCATCAGCAACAAAAAACAAAATCATCTAAATGTTTTCTGACTTGGATATATGTGCGTGTATGTCCGCACACACACACTGCAGGAGCATCGTCAGCAGAATCTGACTTGAGGACGATCATTAAATCCAGGTTCTCTCTCTGGAGAGCATTGCAGGATTCATCCCTGGGCTCGCTCCCATGTTCTGAGGTCACTTCGTTTTCTACCTCTGGGCCACAGCTTTTGTAACAGCGCTGCGTGTCCTAGCGCTTACGTAAGTTGGGTGACCTTGTCGGCCATTATCCCTGCAAGCCTGGGGATCGAGAGCCGATATATAGGTCGCTTTAAAGTTAAGGTCGGTTGAAGGACGTTGCATTCGCAGCCCGCTGCTGTACACCACATGGCCGTGGCCTCAAACGAACACTGAACCTGGTGACAGTTGTTGAACCCTGCTTATGGCCTTGTAATACAGCACCCACCAGCACCACTGCTAATAAATAAATGTATATATGCTCTGGCTACGCTGCAGACTCGGCATTTTTTGCAGGAAGCTGCCCGTAGCCATCAGCGAGGTTTCTCTGTTTCATCACCAGGAGAGCGCGGGTGCAGGTCAGACCGCGCGGGGCTCGGCGGGGGTGTAGGGAGCCGTGCAGCTTGGGTTTAAGCGATCTGTAAACCAAGGATTAACTCGCAAGTAACGTTTTTCATGGCGAATCCGGCCTTTCTGCCTGCTGTGCCGGCGGGCGGTGGAGGGTGCTGCCGTCTGGGGCGAGCGCCGTGCAGGGGGGTGAGTATCTGCAGCTGGAGCTACATCTCCCAAAGGGATTCGCCTCGCTCTTGTTTTGCACAGGTAGTTCTTTGCACAAAGCAGGGGCAGGATTCGCACCAAAAAGTTGCACGTGGGGGTATTTGGTGCAGGTACCGACCCTCCACCTGAGCGCGCAGACCCGAGCCCCCAGGTGAGGGTGGGGGCCGGGCAGGTTCCCGGTTAAATCCCGCAGCCCAGGTTTGCACGTTGCCGTCGCCGTTTGGAGCCGCAGCCGACCCTGGGATTGTGTTTCCCCTTGCGCAGGAGGCGGCCTGCGCAGAGGAGGGAGCTGAGCTCAGCGCTCGCGTGACGGAGGATGCCGCTTCATAAGGCTTTTGGTTTTGTCATTCTTCATAACCGTCCCTGCCACCGGCCTGGTGGGGTATTTTGTGATGTTATAAGTGTTGTCACGTAGATTTGTGATTATCATCTGTGATTAACCCTTCTTACGCCGGGAAGCTGAGGGAGGTCTGACCTGGAGGGGATGTCTTAAAAAAATCCCACGTTCAGCTTTAATCCAAGTTGACAAGAGCTGTTGCTGGGGACAAGAAGGCAGGGAGCAGATAAGAAGCAAACAGGCACAGAAAATACCCTCTGAAGTGTGTAAGAAGTTCTCTTAGTGGAAGGGATAAGGTTCTTTCTCTCTGATGGGTCAAAAGCAGGTAAGCAGGGAATTTTTCAGGGCAGAACAAGCTCCATCGAGCGTCTCCTTATTTTACAACATCTCCTTTGTGCGGTGGTGTTGGAGATGCGGATGCTCTCGCGAGGTGTCCCCGGGAAGGACAGAGCGTGAGCATCCCAGCGCTCACCCCAGCTCGGGTGCGATCCGGAGCACCCGGGAAGGTCAGCTGGAAGCAAGCGGGGCAGAGCCAGGTCAAGTGCTGTTCACCGCTGACATGCAGCCCAGTGTCCGAAGCGGTTGTTTTACGGACGTGACGTTTCGCCAGCAGAGACTGGCTCGTGGCTCTTGTATCCGGGGGGATAAAGGGGATTACGGTGCTGAAACCTGGGAGGGAAGGATGCTGCCAGGGCAGAGGTGCGGAGGAAGGGGATGCCGGGCTGCTGGCCCGGGCTCTCGCCAGGTGGAAGCCGTGGGCTGGATTTGCTGTGCTGCGCTGGATTCATGCGTTGCCCTCTTCTGGGAAATGGCACAAATTGCAGCGCCTGCCCGGTGCAGCGGGGCAAGCGCAAACCAAAACCGCCCGCGCTCGTGGTGCCCGGGCTGCTGCGTGAGTCCTGCTCCAGGGCGGAGGGGAGCGCGGCTTTGGGGAGCCGGGGTCGTGTGTTTTCTGCTTTGATAAGGTACCAGTTTCGTCTGGAAAATAAAAATCAATACTCGCTTTTCTTGTAAGGACTTGGCCATGTACATAAATGAAGTAAAGCGGGACAAAGAGACTTTAAAGAAAATAAGTGAATTTCAGAGCTCTATAGAGAATCTGGTAAGTTGGAAAATCCTCTCACTCCCTACTTTAATTTGATTATTATTAACATATTTGCTTTTTCTGTGCAATTACTACTGAATCTGATGTGCTACCCAAGAAAGATCCCTGCGTGTTCGGACACTCCCTGATCATGGACAATGTTTCTGCTGACAGTACGAAACCGATTTGGCTGTGATGGAGGGTGGCTTTTGTTGGTGATGTTACACCAGAAATGTCCCTCCAACTTTTCCTCATGTGTTATGTACAGAGGGCCCAAGAATTCCCCAAATCGGGTATCTGTTATTTAAAGTGGGGTTTCTTTTACTGTTTAGAGGACAGGCAGGTTAACTGAATATTCTTGCAGTGAATATCTTTCACGTCTTGAAAGTGTCCCAAGGACCATTTGGAGGAGAAGGGCGCGTGTAATATGCACCTAATCCCCAAATCTCAACCAGGTGTTTTAAGGAGAATCTCATCCTTCGAACTCCAGAGGTGTTAAACACTTGGTCCCATTATTGTGCGTCAGCCGACCCTGTGCAAACCATCACCCGAGCCCTGAAGAAGCCCATTAATTTAATATTCACTGGCAGAACTTCAAGCTAATGAGCTTTTTCCCACATTTGCGGGGGGCGGGCGGGGAGGGCTGGTCAGCTGCGGGCGCAGCTGCTCCGCCGTCACGCTTTGCGCTGGGGTAATGCAATCCGGGGCTGACACCTGAGATGCTTCAAAAGGGCTGGTGGAGGGAGAAGCTGGGGGCTGCCCACCCCGAGGGCTTCCTGGAGGGGTCCTGGGTTTGGGGGCTTGAAGCCTTGACTTCATTTGAAAGCAATGAACTTTTAATTGGTGGTTATTTAACAGACGGAGACAAAATCCTTAATTTTTGAGCAACCTGCAAAAATCCTCCCATGGGACGTGGGCCGTTGCAGCTCGCAGGTTTTGACTGAAGCAGTCGTGATAATCCCGATCTGTGCGAACGATCAGGCGTCATGCTCCGTAAAAGTGGGAATGTAAATACGGGCATGAAGCAGCCACCTCTCCTCTTTGCAGCAGCCAGAGAGCGGGTTTGATGTGCGGGAGATGAGATGTTAGCAAAGCAGGCACTGCTGTCTGCAGATCGATCCCACGCAGGGTGTTGTGGAACGATTGGTGTTACGTATACAGAGCCCGCGTGGCATGGCAAGGAAATAATTACGGGCTATACACACAGCTGTGTGAAATACTTCTTTTCCTGACCAGCCGTGATGCTTCACAATATCTTTTTCCTGTAAGAAGACAGTCCTGTGCAAGGGGACGGACTCCCATGGCCCGGCAGCCGTGCTGCACCGAGCAACGTTGCGAGGGCTTTGGAGCTGAAAGGCACTGACCAAACCCTTGGGTTGGGTGCCAGCCTCCCCAAAATCTCCAGCCTTGGTTCAGGATGGGAATCAAAACTACAAAAGCCCTGGTTCTGGTTTTGCAGAAAGCCCTGGAAAATAGCTTTTTTGGAGGGGAAGTTTGCTTTCTGGATCCCAAACCTTGCAAAAATGCTTTGACTGCTGAGCCTTGCCCTGGGGTGCTGGTGCTGGAGCTCCAGGGATCTGCTGTGGTCCTGTTCCCACACTCGTGCGCGGGCTCCCCTGGGTGAGGGCGATGCTGCTTCAGCAGCTCGAGACGGGGCTGGTGGGGATGCTCCCCGCACACCGTGTGATGCGGGCAGGTTTGGGTTTCCACCTTGCCAAAGCATCGTCCCAGCCCTGGCTGCGGATCTCAGCCCTGCTTTGCTTTCTGTAGCAAGTGAAGCTGGAGGAGTTCGGGAGGCCGAAGATCGATGGCGAGCTGAAGGTCCGCTCCATAGTCAACCACACCAAGCAGGACAGGTGAGTGAGCAATGGCACTTAAAAGTTTTCCCAAACTAAATGTACCTTCGTTTGGTGATTCCCCTTGTGCTCATTTCTTCAGCGATTGCCTAAGAGTTGTACTGACAGAAATCATCGTCGATGTGAAATTGTATTTTGTGCTGGCTGGGAAGCTCTGCAGAGCTTTCTGAATATTTCCCCTTGAATGGGGACCTTCATGAGATGTTTGACTGGGTTGCGTGTTTGTTTGCTTGCTTTGGGCAGGTATTTGTTTTTATTTGATAAAGTGGTGATTGTCTGCAAAAGGAAAGGGTACAATTATGAGCTGAAAGAAATTATTGAGCTGCTCTTCCACAAGATGACTGACGACCCTATGAACAACAAGGACATTAAAAAGGTAGGTGGACCGGGGGGTTAGCTCTGCTGGAGAGCATTTTGGAGCTGTTTGGGCCAGTCCTTGGGTAGTACGTTCCCATTAGCCTTTTAAAATAGAAACAGAGCTTGCAAAAAAGCTGGAAAACAAATGCTTAGCTTTCAGGGCAGCCTTACAGAGATTTGGGAGATGTTCACTAACGTGGGGCTGGGCTTGATCCTTGACCTCCGTCCTTGCAAAACAGCCCTGAAGAAGCTGGGATGATTGGAGTTGGGAGAGAGGAAGCTGCTCCCTGCTTTCTGGCCTGCCCGCAGCGAGGGACCGGCAGGGAGCCAGCGCCAGACGGGCGGAGAGGAGGGCAGGGAGGGAAGGTCCATCCGGATGCTCTCGCTCCCACGAGTGGCAGGGTGGAGGAGCCTGGAAAGGCAGCGTGAGTGCTGCCAACCGGCCTGCCAAAACTGGCACTGGGAGCACGGTTGCCACTGAGGGAACATCATTTTGCTGGTGGTTTGGGGCTTAGTCTGCATCCGTGAAGGATAACCTCCCAGCTGCCAGTTCAGCAGAGACCCATTAGCTTAATCTACTTACATGCAATGGGAAGAGGTATGGTACAGGTGGGGTAAGTGTCATTTGCGTAAGAATAGCCAATTTTACCAGTCGGATACTGAAGAAATGCTGCTAGCTTTGTGTTTTAATGAAATATATTTCCACTTTGCTCTCCTATGCTTTCTAGTCTCATGGAAAAATGGTAAGCAAAGCACACAATTTTCTCTCGTGTTTTTCTGTGCAACGTTGTAGAGAGAGAGGAAGAGCATATGTGCAGTGGGCAGGTCAGATGTTCCTCCTGGGCTGTCAGTTGCTGTCAGGGAGAGATAAAATGGCTGGGGAGAATCCACTGGAGCAGAAAAATCTGGGTTCTCTCATCTGCCGCCATAAAATGCTGTTTGGCCCTAGTGCACGGTACCAAGCTGATCCAGGCATCATTAGTGGTGATGTGTTAGCGAAACACGGCGCTCTTCTTCCTCCTTCCGTGCTGTCACCTTTGCAAAGGTTCAGCGGGGCTTCCGAAGCAGGGAGGGGGACAGGCACCGAGAGCGGTTTTTTTTTTGCGAAGGCGCTGCGGGGTGGGCAGCTCGGGGGTCTGATCAGCTCTCTCGCTTTCTCTTGCAGTGGTCCTACGGCTTCTACCTAATTCACCTTCAGGGGAAGCAGGGCTTCCAGTTCTTCTGCAAGACGGAGGAGATGAAGAGGAAGTGGATGGAGCAGTTTGAAATGGCAATGTGAGCATGAGTGGCGGTTCTAGCCCTGGCGTGCAGTCGCCAAGCACGGGGGGACAGCGTCTTGGACCAGCAGGTCACCGGAGACCAGCTCCGATAGCAAAGCCTGTGCTGGGGAAGCTCACGTGGGCTTGCTGGATGGGTCCCTGTGCAACGGGAGCTTGGGTCCGGCGTGAAGTCATCTACCGCGAGCATCCGCAGCAAAGCACCCGCGGCG